CCCCCCCCCCCCCCCCCCCCCCCGGCAAGTTGAGCTCTGTGTTCTCCATGTCAGCTACCCACCTTGCAGGACATGCCCTTCCCCTGGGGCTGGTCATCCTGTCCCAGTGTGGGATCCCCCTATCCCACCCCCACCCTCCAATCCCTCCCTCCCCCCCCACCCCTCCCCTCCCCCCACACCAATTAACCTGCTCCCCCTTTCCCTGTGGAAGAGTTGGTCCCGGCTCCCAAACTTAGGCTGCATCACCAACACCCCTCCTGTGACCTGCAACCCCAGGAACTAGAGAGGTTGGCCCTGCAGGGTCCCCCTTGGGCTCTTGTGCACATCCAACCCCCCTCTCCATCCACCTGGGACGTGGGAAGCCTGCTCCCCGCATTTGCAAGGCCCTTTGTCCCCCTTCTTCCCGGCTTACTCCCTCTGGTTTGTCTCAAGCCTGAGCCTCTCCACCCTCTCCAGAAAGTTACGCCTGACCCCAGGGGTGAAGGAGGGCCTTACTTGGGGTCTCTGTACCCCCTTAACCCTCCATGGGGGCAGCCTCCTTCCATGTCTGGCCACACCCTGGACCAGATTCTCCTGGAGGACAGAGCCCCCTTCCCGGGCCCCCCCCAGCGCAGCGACCCAGGCCTGAGAATGAGCCGAGTAACAGGATCCCCAAGGCCCCCCGCCCCTCCCTCTGTGCCCTGCCCACCCGCCATGAATCAGCAGCTCCGAGGCGGCCAGAGCAGCTTTACGCCTGGGCTGTGGGCTGGGGCTCTGCAGCACCCAGGACTTGGAGACCAGTCAGTGGGAACAGCCCGGGGGCTCTGGAGCCACAGCCGCCTGTGCCCTTCATGCCCTGGGCTGCCCGTGGCAGGTGGCCCGTGGCACTCCACCTGCCTCCTCCAGGAGGCCCCTAGCTGGCCCTCTTACTCCCCGTGGTGGGGCCCAGGGGTCTGGCCGTGTTCCCCAGGTGGCGCAAGCCCCAGTTCTGCTCCCGTCCCCTGCCTCCCACCCAGGACTTGGCCTACCTTGGGCTCCAGGGGTTCCCCCAGGACCTGAGGCCCAGCAGCCAGACTGACCAGGCCCCTGGAGGCCACTCCCACAGGGTCTCCACCCCCAATGCCCAGGGCAAGGGCACGAGTGTCCTTGTTGAGTGAGCTGCAGTGCTAGTGTGTCCCGAGGGCAGGTGGCCTCTTTCCCCTTAAAAAAGCTATTTTCCCCCCCATCACCCGGCTGGGTGGGCCTTGCTCCCAGAGACCCCCCGACTGTCCCCCAGCGGCTTCCCTGACCACTGAAAGGCAGCACAGGTCTGAAGCTGAGCCTGCCCGATGAATTCCTCAGCAGGGCAGCTGGCGTCGGTCTGTGGATGGCCATCCTGCCCTGTCCCTCATCCGAGCCCACTAGCCTGGGTGGAGAACCCGCCCCACCCCATCCCCCCGAGCTCTTGGGGAGCAGGGAGGGTGCTATGCCAGAGACAACTGCTTGCCTGCCTGGAGACCCAAGGGATCGAGGCAGTGCAGGGGCTGGCGGGGTCAGGCCAGCCGGGGATGTGGTGCGCAGATCAGCCACCCACCTCAGGCAGTGCGGACAGCGGGGCAGCAGAGCCTGGAGACTTGGGACACAAGCCGAGTGAGAGAGAACCCCTTTATTTGTGACACCCTCGTGCAGGCACTTGACGCTGAGGCCTCTGAAAGGTGGGAGGTCACCACCTGATGCATAGGACACCACCACCCCACAGAGAAGCCTCGACGGAGGACCCCCACCCCCAACACACACTGAGCAGGTTTGTGTCCAGAGGTTACCAGATCAGCTCCATTCTGGAAGAAGGGAGGTTGAGGGCTGACCCACAGACCAGAACCCCCAGCTCTCAGGGGCAGGGCCTGGTGGGCAGAGGTAGAGCGTGCAGAGCCTTCTTCATCAGCTCCAGGGTCTGAGTGCAAGTCTACACTGGTGTGCCCCCCGCCCAGCCTCCTCCAGGCTGCAGCCCCCTATGCCAACTAGCTCTTCACGCCTTAGGAGCACCTGCAGCAGCCCCCACGGGCAGGGAGAAGGGGCTGGCTTTTGCCCACTGGATGCCCCTCGCCCGCCTGAGCCCCTTGAGCGGTGCACACAGGGTCTCAGCAACAGCGCCCCCGCGCCCGCGCCCGCGCCCGCGCCCTACAGCGGGGGCTGAGGGAAGGGGAAGTGACGGCACAGCCACATCCATTCAAGCTCCTTGCTGGTCACAGAAGCTGGCCCTTCCCTCAGGCAGCCACAGCCTCACGCGTGCCTACACGTGCCTGACCCGCAGGGACCGGGAGCACGCGTTAGTGCACACGTGCCACACACAGCACAGGTGAACACACGGCTCGAGACCGACTTTCTGTCCCTGCCCTGCCAGCCCCCAGAAAAGATCCCGCCCAGCTTTCAGACTCGGGGCTCTGCATTTTCCAGGGTAGCGCCGCTCGTCAGGGCCGAGACGCTCTGACAACTAAGACCCTCACTTCAGTCTCCAGGGGGCCCCCAGAGACGGCCCTCTGGGACCCCGGAGAGCTGGGGCAGAACTACTCCCTGGGGGACCCCTTACGGCATCCAGGTGCGGTCCTAAGGGAGACCCAGGTTGCTGGGAGGAGGCGGGGGAGCAAGGAAGCCCAGGATGCTCTGCCTAGACTCCTGCCCCGGTGTCTTGCGCACAGGCACACTTCTGTGTGTTCACATGCATACGAGGACTGCCCACAAGGAGCAGCGTGCAGGCGAAAGGTCCCAGGCTCGGGTCAGGGCTGCTGGCCACAGCGGTGCCGGGAGGCACCCCTCGTGGGAATCCAGCAGGCCGAGGGAACCCTGTGGTTCGAGTGGCCGGCCACCACACTCCCCTCACTGCTCAATCTCCAGGCTGCCAGGTGACTGTGGTGGCTCCGGGGGCTTGAAGCTGAGGACCTCCTGGTAGGTGAGCTCTGGGGAGTGAAGGGAAAGGGTGCCGTCACTGGTCACTGGCCCGCTTCCCTCGCTGCCCCGGCCCGTCACCCGGAGGGCAGCCTCAGCCCCTCGGCTTCCTTCCAGAGCCTACCCTGTGCTGCCTGTCCCCCAGGCCTCTGTTGGACACCCCCCGACCCCATTCCATCTCTACCTGCTCCACCCTGGAGTGGGGGGGACGCACTGGGGAGGAACTAGAACACTTCCGGAAGGAAGCAGGCAGCTCCTAGCCTCCAAGGGAATGACGCTTTCAGGCCCCTGGGCTCCGCCTCTCCCACCCAGCCCTCCTCAAGCGCACCCTTCCACTCCTCCACTGTGCGCTCCTTGGCCTCCACGCTCTCATCGTAGGGCTCAGCCTCGGGCTCATCGTCGGGGTCATGGTACTGGCTGAAGTAGGCGTGGGCCAGGGCCTCGGCCGCGCTGACCCTCTGGTCGCTGTCCAGCACCAGCATCCTCCCCAGGAGGTCCACAGCTGCCGAGTGGTCAGTGGAAGGGAGTGGTCAGCTGTGCATCGAGGGCCAGACTTGGAGCCCAGCTCAGACCCAGGGCCCGTCCTCACCCAGAGGGTTGGCTCCATGGAAGATGCTCCTGAGGTCCTTCTGGGGCATGGGGGGCAGGGACTGGATGTACGTCCGGGCCTGGGGACACAGAGGAAGGGCCTGACGGGGCTGTTCACACCCTACCTCCTCTGACCTCAAGCCAGGCAGGGGCTTGCTGAGAGAAGCCCCCAGACTCATTCATTCCAGCAGGCCCGGACAAGAACATGCACAGACCAGAGGCATCTCCCACGTGGGGTTTAGTCGCTCCAGCACCCCACCTGGCTCTCGATGCCTGGAGCCCCGGGGCCAGGTGTCACCCCACTGTTCTGGGCAAGGGCACTGTTTGTTAGTGCTGGGATTTTGCCCTCACTGTCCCTCATGCCGGGAACATCTTCCCTGTTCCCGTTTCTCCCTTAAGGGGGCAGGCTCCTGCCTCAGGCTCTATTCCACTGTGACCCATGCTTCCCACACGGTTCCCAGTCTGTTCCCAGGGTCCCTTCCTCCAGGGTACCTAGGAGCATGGTTAGCGGAGGGAGCTGGGAGCTGGGACTCACGTGTTCTGAGGATATCTTCGCTAGGACCTCAGGGCTGGGCGTGCCCACAACCTCCATGATTCGCTTCAGCTGGTCGATGTCTGCCTGGCTGAGGAAATGCCTGCTGGCCAGGAGCAGACCCTTCCCGGGCCCCCAGACCTTGGCGCACTGCCCCAAACCTGCTCTCCTACAGCGGGAGTCAGTGAGCCCAAGGTGGCAGTGTGGCGCAGAGGAGGCAAGACCAGCCAGGAAGGGCCAATGCCACATCCCCTGAGACCCACCCAGCAGAAAGGGACCCTGGTTTAAGCCTCCTCCCCAAGGGCAAGGATACAGTCATTTCCTGGGAAGAGGGCCTTTCCCTGGAGCAGCTCAGCCATGATGCAGCCCACAGACCAGATGTCCACTGTTGGGGAAGGAGTCTCCATTAGTCTGCCCTCCCCAAGCCCCCCTCAGAGAATCAGGCCTCTCAGTCACACCCAGGCCCAAAGACAGCAGACCCAACCCTGGGTAGGCAGAGGCGTTTGCCCAAGATCTGCTGTGCTCGGCACCTCTACGGTCTGTTTTGCAACAGTGGTCCCAAACCTTGCCTGTCCCCAAGGCTGGACACAAATGCCCCCACCACAGTCCTTAGCTTTTGGGCCCCTAGCCCCCACCGTCCCCAGGCCCTGCCCACCCTGGTTCAACACAACCGTGTGCCCCCATATGGGGTGACATCACCTGTCTGGTTGTAGTGCATCCAGTTGAGCATGATCTCAGGGGCACGGTACCAGCGGGTGGCCACGTAGCCGGTCATCTCCTCATCGGCCTGACGGGCTAGCCCAAAATCCAGGATCTAGAGCGACCACCAGGCCTGTCAGTGCCTCCCAGGCAGGCCCCGCTCCGCCGCCCGACAGGGTGACAGCCCCTCCCGCGCGCCAGCTCACCCGAAGCTCGCAGTCCTCGTTGACGGCCACGTTGCTGGGCTTCAGGTCCTGCGGGGCAGGCGGGCGTGAGCGCAGGGGCGGCGGTGGCGCCCGCCCCCCCCCTCACCCCGCGGCCGCACCTACCCGGTGGATGATCCCCGCGGAGTGGATGTACTGCGAGGGGGAGACGGTGCGTCAGGCTGCGGCCACCACACCCCGCCCTGTGCCCGCCCGCGCGGCGCCCACCTTGAGCCCGCGCAGGAGCTGGTAAAGCAGGAACTGGACATGCTCGTCGCTCAGCGCCTGGCACTTGACGATGTTGTTCAGGTCGGCGCCCATCAGGGTGGTCACCAGGTACCTGGGAGGGGCCAGGGGTCAGGACAGGGGCCCCGCACTCTTACTCCCCCCCCCACCCCCGCACGCGCTCGGCTGCCACGGCGGCTGCCACTCACACTTCGCTGAAGTCCTCAATGGAGGTAGCTGGCGTGAACACGTCCAGCAGCCCGATGACCTGGGCGGGGGCAGGAGTAAGGCCGGCGACCCTGCCCCGAGGGGAGTCCCGCCCCGCCCCGCAGACCCGCCCCAGGGCTCTCTGCTCACGTTCTCGTGCTTCAGGTGTTTGAGCAGCCGCAGCTCCCGGTAAGTTCTCCGCGCGTGAATCAGCGACTGGAAGGGTCGCGACAACTTCTTCACCGCCACCTTCTGGCGCAGCCGCGTGTCATAGGCTGAGCTGCAAGGTGGGTGAGTGAGGCGGTGCAGAGGGGGACCAGCCGTGCGCCCCCAGGCCCTGCTCCTTTTGAGCCTATTCTGGCCCCATGGGCACGCACCTCTGCTGCACGTTTGCTCGGAGGACCCTAGGGTGCACTGCCCTCCGTGCAGCCAGCCCCTGACCTGCTGAAGAAGCCTCTCCTCTGCCTCCCCTGGGCCTGATCCCACCCTCCAGCCCACCCCTTCCCACCGGCATTCCGGCCCACAAGGTCCTGGCCTGCCCTGACCTGGGAGTCCCAGGGCAGGGACCGGGGTCTTCTCCCCCAGCTCAGCAGAGGCTGGGCAAAGTCTCCGACAACAGGCGGGAAAACAGCCACCGCAGGGTGTCCTCCTGTTGCCCCCAGGGGGCCCAGAGCCACCTCCAAAGCCCCCGGACCCCCAATGCCTCTGAATATACAAAATACGGATGAAAAACTGGCCAAGGGTGTTTACTGAATTATTATTTTTGAGTGAAACACTGGACAACACGGAATGTTCAACAGAGAGTGGTGTCTGGGCCCACAGAACATTCCCCAGGGGCCCAGGGGCTCTTCTCCAGCTCCACACCAACCCCGCAGCCATCTACACCCGCCGCACCGGAGCCCTGCTAAGAGTCCGGACTGTTTGGTCACCGATGCTCAGACCTTCCCCCTCTCCCTCTTTACCCCCACCCTCCAGGACCCTGCCTCCCCGAGAGTGAGTGCGCACAGTCCGGGGAGAAGCTCCTGCGGCGGCTGGGATGCTCAGGGGCCCCGGTGGCGGTGGAGGAGAGCCTGCCAGGTGCCTGGGGCACCCATGCCCCTTCCTGCAGCCTGTTGCCTGCTGGGGAAGGTCCAAGTCACTTCTGGGGAGGCAAGGAGGGAAGCGGCCCCTCGTGTGGGGCAGCAGACCCTTCTCCCCAGCAGTCCCATCCGCACAATCTGGTGACAGGGAGTTGGCACTAGGTCACCAGCTTTACCGTGGAAGCCCAGGGGACGGCCACCACCTGCACCGGGGCAACAGCAAGCAAGAGCAATGCGGAGAGACCCAGGCCTCCCAGGGCAGCTGGACCCTCCCTAGGGGCCCCCTGAAGGCAGCTCCGGGCCAGAGGTGATTCCAGCAAGGACTCTGTATACGGAGCTGCTAACGCATCGTCCCTGACCCTCTTCCTGCCCTTGAGGTCTTAGAGATGAAGGCAGAGGCCAGAGGCGGAGACGGCCAGCCTGAGAACGCAGACAAGCTGGCCAATGACTGGAGGTGGGGGTGGGGGTGGGGGGTGTGAGCCCTTGCACGGGCCCCAGCGCTGGGCCTCTGGAGGGGGTCAGGAAGTCCCTCTGGTAAGCTTCTGTCAGAGCCAGGAGTTATGCCCCATCCCTAGGGGCTCTGGCCTCCCCACCTGAGACCCCATCAGTGGACAGCAGCCACCAGGCTCAGGCCTGGGTTTGGGGGGGTTACCTCTCAACACCCACGTCCACACGCAGCTTGTCAGTATTCTAACTGCACCACGACAGCTTGGGACCACCTCACCCTAAGCCCCACCCCCCGCCCCTCCCAGCCCCACACGGGTCTCAGCCAAACCCCCAACCCGGTCTCCCAATTCCAGACTCCGTCCTCTGTCTGGGTCCCAGGGCCCAACTGTGGGGCTGTGGTCTGAGCTTTCTCGGTGGCGGCAAAAACGGAGCAGCGTAGACCCCCGCAAGCACTGCAGGGGGGCGGTAGGCTTCTCTGATCAGGCCTGAGCCCCATGCAGAGTCTGAGACCCTTTGGAAAACAGGAAAGAGTGCAGGACGCAGGACAATTTTGAAGCCATTGTAAGGGGAGGGGTCCTGCGCTCCCCCAAGCTGGGCTTTCTCTTTTGCAAACAAAACCACCCATCCTAGGACCGGGGCATCTGCCAGACCTCAGGGCTGCCCGACCCTTGATGGGGCCGGGGTGTGGGGAGCACCCTGGACGCCTGTTCGCTCGTTTAGGGGCCCGGGAGACCCGCCCTTTCTCCGGCTGTGACGCCGCAGGATTTGGGCCTGGTGGGGGACGCCCCGGCTGGGACGGGGTGGGATCGCGACCCCCCTCCCTAAGCCGGAGCGGCGTCCGGTGGGAAAGTTTCCTCCCTGCCCCCGACCCCCATTCATTCCCGCGATCCGTGAAAGGCCCGGGGGCGGAGGCAGGGCGAGGCCCCTCCCCACGCCGGGAGCCTCGCCGCGGGAGGGGAGGGGGCGCGCACTCAGTCCCGCCCGCCCCGCCCCGCCCTCCCCGCCGCCCCTACCAGACCGAGCCGTAGGCGCCCGAGCCCACCGGGCGCAGCCCCTGCAGCCGCTCCGGCACCTCCCACACCGTCTTGTTGAGTTCCTGCCGGTAGAAGCCTGCGCGCGGGCCCGACATGTCCGAAGCGGCCGCCGCTCGGCCCGCGCCCCGCCCCGCACCCCCGCCCCCGCCCCGCGCCGGAGCCCGAGCCCGAGCGGAGCGGACGGAGGGCGGCGGGAGGAGGCGGCGGCGGGCGCGGCGCGGGGCGGGGCCGGGGGCGGGGGGTGCGCGGGGCCGGGCGGAAGCCAGCGCCGTCCTCCCTCCCCGGGCCGGGCCGGGGGCGGGGGGTGCGCGGGGCCGGGGCGCCCGCTCGCGCGGCTGCCCGCAGGGGTCGGCCCTCGGCAGGGCCCCGCCCCAGCCAGGCCGCCTCCGCTCCCCGCACCTCCCCCCGCCAGCCCCGTCCCTCCTCTCCCCGCTCCTGCTCCGGGCCCTGCACCCCCCCCCCCCGCTTCCCCAAAATCAAGCCGGGGGAGCGGATTTTTCATCGATAGAGAAAATACCGCCTCATCAGAACTGGACGCTTGGATGGGTCCCCCTGGGTGTGCAGATGGCGGCGCCCTCTCCCGCGGGGGCCGACCCGGGCGCGGCCGCGGGGCTTCCCAGCTGGACCCGGCCGCTCGCCCCGGACCCGCCGCCTGCGCCGTAGGGAGAAGCGCGGCGGGCCTGGGCCCAGCCGTCAGGACCAGGGACAGCGGCTGCGCCCGGCGCCTCGGAGGCGCTGCGCCCGTAAAACACGATCCCCAGACAGGCCCTTTTGGGCTCCTGGTCCCTTTCCTCCCTCTAAACGCACCCTCGGCCGTCCCCGCTTCCAGGAAGCCCACCCTGACTTTCCTATGTACGGAGGAGCTGCTCTGTGCGGACCCGCAGTTCCGCCTCCGCACTCTGCACGCTTCCTCGTTTCCTCCCATGGCCTGGAAGGGTGATCTCAAACGGGCCGCTGTACCCGGGGGGGGGGGGGTCCCCGCGACTGTCTGCTGCTCTGCACCGCGCATCATGCTCCCCGCTTCAGAGGGACGCGTGGCCGCAGCCAGCCTTGGCCCCAGGACGGCCACCCCCTGTGTTGGGGGAGCAGGGGCCCAGGCGGGGCTCTGCGGTGCCTGAACTTCCACCTCCTAAAGACGCACTAAAACCGGGGTTTTTATGTGAAATCTCCTGATTTTTAAATATTGGCAACCAAATTAAAATAAAACATGTCAACGCAGCGCCAGGCAAACGGACATAACTGCCCAGCGAATCAAAACCCTGGCGGGGAGGCGGGGGCGGCTGGTGGGCTCGGGGTTAAGCGTGGGGCTTCGGCTCCGGTCCCGACCTCAGGGTTTGTGAGTTCGAGCCCCGCGTCGGGCCGGCTGCTGCAGCGCAGAGCCTGCTCGGGATCGGTTCTCCGTCCCCAGGCTCTCTCTCTGCCCCTCCCCGCCTCAAAAAATAAACGTTAAACAAAACAAAACAAAACGACCCAGGCGGGAGCCAAGAAACCACAAAGAAAGTGATCTGAGTCTCGCGCCGCCCAGCCCCGAGCCACCCTGGCCTCAGTTTCCCCCTGGGAGCGGGTGCCGGTGGGGGTGGGTGGGTAAGGACCCGGGTGACGCCGGGCTCCGCGCCTCCTCCGGAGTCTCCGCCTTCCCGGAGGGCGGGGCGCGCCGAGCCCCGGGCCGCGGGGGAGGGGGCGGCCTTTGTTCGCGCGGGGCGGGCGCCCCCCCACCCCCCCAGCAGGTTCCCCGGGCGACAGGCTCCGCCCCTCTTCTGCGGCCCCAGGAAGGAGCCGGGCCTCCCCTAGGGGAGCCTGCGCCCGGCCTCCCCTACCTGCCCCACATCCGGGCTGGGGGGTCAGAACTGACCTGAGAGGAGCGGCCCCCCACCCCCCGCGGCCGGCTCAGCGGGTCAGGCGGAGTGGAGACCCTCCCTCAGAATTCACCAGGCTGGCGGGTCCTGCCTGGCCCAGCTCCCCTGGGGAGGCCCGAGGAGAAACCAGGGAGTTTCCAGTGGTGGTTAGGGTGAGGAGAGGGCACGGTCAGAGCCCGACGGGTCAGGAAGTCCCCTGGAGGGGACACCAGTGGAGCCGAGCGCACCATCCTGCCTCCCTGGGAGGAGCTCGGCTGGGGGACAAGGAGGGTGTCGGCCGGGGTGGGGGGCCCGAGGCAGGCTGGGCTGGGCCACAGCAGGGGTTTCATTTTGTTCTCAGGGTGATGGGAAGCTGTGCCGGACATTTTCACAGCGTCATCCTGGCCACCAGGTCTGGAGGGTGAGAGAGGCCTGAGCCTAGAGAAGTCGGTGGCCATGGCGTGGGGAGCGGCAGGTGTCAGGATGGGGCACAAATGGGAAGGCCACACCCAAGAGCCTCCTACCCAGACCTGAGCCCTGAGCCTCCCTCCACCCTCTACTGTTCCCCTCCAATATCAAGATCCCACTCTCTCTCCATGTCCCCTGTCCCCTCCCCTGGCCACTTGCTGGCCTCCTGACTGCACTTCTCCCTGAGGTCAGAATGAACCTCGTAAAAAGCTAACGCGGCCCTGTCATGGGGGCCTGGTGACTGGGGGTGGGGGGTGGCCTTAGGCCCTTCACCGCAACTCGCCTTTCCTTGGGCTCGTCCCAACCCCGCCTCCGCCCCCGCCCCCACTACATCAGGAGTGAGATGGTAGATAGAAGGCAGGCCATCCCTCAGTGTGACAGCGGAAGGTCCTGTCTGGAGGCCGGGCCTCCTTGCCTCGGCACCCCCAGCTTAGCACTTCCAGACTGTGCCCCACCCACCTCTGAACAGCTGGATCTCAGGGAAGAGGGAACCTAGTGTGGGTCGTAACAGTGTCCTTTAGGGGTCCCTGGGGTGCGGGATGTCAGTTGTTAGCCTAGTACCCCTTCCCCGCTTGTAGCTCACGACCGAGGCCTAGCTTATCCCCAGCCACAGCGATGCCCCAAGTGGAAGGGACGCAGTCTGGGGCTGCCCGTCAACAGCGCCCCCGCTGAGGATACAGCAACATGGAACCCAGACACCCTGAGCACGTGGGTGCAGCCCGACCTGCGGCGGGGCAAGCAGCATGCCCTCACTCTGGAGCCACCAAACCCCCACTCGGCTGGGAGGGGCGGTGTTCTTGGAGCAGAAGGGCTCCCCTGGGCCAGCCTGCCTGTGCCATTTACTGCTGTGTTCCTAGGGCCCAGGACAGCGTGTGCTGAATGGATGAACATGCTGTGTGCCCGCGCACACGAGTGTGCCGCCGCTCCAGGGGGCACATCTCATTGCTGCCGCCCTGCATGCAGCACGGGGGTCGGGGGCAACACGCTGCCCCCACCCCCAGGATCCCGGACGACCCCTCCCTGGGGCATCGGCAGGGGCGCTACTCAGCCTTACTTTTTTTTTTTTTCCACATTTATTTTTGACAGAGTGAGACAGAGCGTGAGTGGGGGAGGGGCAGAGGAAGAAGGAGACACAGAATCCAGAGCAGCTCCGGGCTCTGAGCAGGAGTCCAGCACAGAGCCTGAGGCGGGGCTCGAACCCACGAACTGTGAGATTGCAACCTGAGCCCAAGTCAGACACTTAACCGACTGAGCCCCCCAGGCGCCCCTACTCGGCCTTACTTTTGTCCTAAGTCATCCTAGGGCTGTTCTTGGGGGCCTATGAGCTGACCCTCATGTCCCCACAGCCTTAAGTTGGGGGACACAGGGCCCCTTCTCCCAGAGTCACCCAGTGTCTGCAGATAGCAGGGACTTCCTACATGTATGCTGTCTGGACCCCTCCTCGGAAAAGATACTAGGTCCCTGAGAATTCAAGGTCCAGACAGTAGGCCCCTGCCACGCCCACGCGTGCCCCCAGGCAGGAGCAGGCTCCGCCCCAGGGAGCCAGGCTGAGACGCCCTGACCACCAGATGGCGCCTGACCCCCGCCTCCCCCCAATCCCGGCAGTCAGCTCCAGGATCACCCACCCCTCCCCGGGCCCCAGGCCACATCTCTCAGCCCTAGGGCAGCAGGGGGGACAGGACATGGACTCAGGTCAATTTTCCCCTGCCCCCCAGGAAGCACATTTCCCCCCGAGGGGGAGACCCTCGGGCCGGTGGTGTCCGCAGGAGGAATAGGCACGGACAGCAAAATCTGCTGCAGCCGCAGGAGGAAGTCAGCCAAGCAGCAGAGTGAAAAAGACAACTATATTTGATTTACAATTAACAAGATTTACAAAAGGGGTGGGGTGAGGGCAGTCCCGGCGGAGCTGCTGCCGGAACCCTCAGGCCTGGGCAGGGCCTCCGGAACGGCCCAATCTTCTGGGTCTCCTCTGGCCACCTGGGCCCTGACGTCTGACGTCCAGCTTGACCTTTGAGGTGGGGCCCAGGGCACGGAGTCCGCCGGGAGTGCCAGCGCCCCACAGGGCAGGTCACGTGAGGTCAGGAAGGCTTCGTACCGCTGTCCTCCGCCCCAGGGGCGGGGGGGGGGGGCAGACACAGTCTGGGCGCGATGCCCTGGGGGCCGCAGGCAAGCGGACCCCACCCAAAGAGGCCAAACCCATGGATCTGAGGTGGCTGCTGGTGCTCAGGCAGGGGGAGCTGAGGCCCGACTGCCCCCAGCGACCCTGCGCAGCGCCAGGGGCGTAAGGCACATTTGCGAATCGCACGGGAGATGTGACACAGACACCTGATGCTGGTTCTGCGGGAGCTGGCGCGGCTGGGCGCCCGACCCTATTGCTCACGAGATAGATGCTACAGACGTGGAGGCGGGGGCTCCCCTGCTGCACCCACACGCGGATGCCCGGGGCTCTTCCTCTGCTGGTGAAGGGTAAGGGCCTCACCACTCAGCCTCATTTTTCAGGGGCTGCCCAACGCCTGACACGGGGCATCACGCACCTGTGCCCAGAGTCAGTGGTGGCAGAGGTCAGAGGTCTGTGACTTTGTTCTCAAGCGCAGCCGCGATCTGCTGGAGGCGGAAAGCCAGCTGCATCTTCTGGGCGGCGGGGTCCTCCTCCAGGGCGTTGATGATCTGCGGGTGGGCCGCGTCAGACCACAGGCCAGGTAAGGGGGCTGCCTGGGTGCCGGCGCCCCGCCCTGGGAGGACACCCCTTACCTCGTCATAGTACTTCTGCGTGTACTGGTAGAGCTGGTGCAGGGCCA